ATAGCAAAGATTTATATTGTTAGAAAAGATTTATATTTTGAATAAATGCTGTTCTTTTTAACTTTTTATTCATCAGAGTCCTGAAAAAATATCGGAGTTTCCAAAAAAATATTTGGCAGCACAACTGTTGCCAACATTGATAATTCTAATAATAAATCAGCATATTAAAATGATTTCTGAAGGATCATGTGACACTTTATACTGGAGTAATGGCTGATGGAAATTCAGCTTTGCATCACAGAAATAAATTATATTTTAAAGTATACTAAAATAGAAATCATTATTTTATATTGTAATAACATTTTGCAATATTACTGTTTTTTCCTGTATTTTTGATCAAATAAATGCAGCCTTGATGAGCATAAGAGACTTCTTTAAAAAACATTACAAGTCTTACTGATCCCAAACTTTTGACCAGTAGTGTATATAAACCATAAGAGACTAGTTCTTTCATTAAAAATCTTATTTATTCCAAACTTTTGACTGGTAGTGTAAATAAAAAATTAAATATAGCATTCAAGTCAAGAAAAAAGTATATATTAATATGCTGAACAGAGAAACCCAGGTATATAAGTTTCAGTGTCCATTGCCAGGAGCTCTCTCACGCTCTCAAAGTGAGTCATGGACGATGAACACAAACCTCTCTGAATTGGCAGGCCGGCTGGTGACGGGTTTGAACAGCGAGACCCTCTCGAAGCAGAGGTACAGCAAATAAATCAAGCCCACGCTGAACGGTGTGAACAGGTCAAACGTCTTACACACAAAATGGCCTCCTGTAAAACACAAAGATTTTGAGTTGAGAAGTTGAAGCAAAAGTGTTTAAATAATTAACATTCATCTATTTAAATAGACCATATAATGGAAAACAACCAATCACAACATAGCTCATTTATATAATCTTAAAGGCACAGTAACAAAAAAAGCCTGTTCAAATAAAAAGTTAAGAGAAACAATAGAAAAATGTTCATGTAAAACTAAACATACAAACTTTTGACTACAAGAAGTGGACTTAAAAAAAAAAAAAAAAAAAAAGATGTACTCCAGAAAGGTTTTAAAATATGGCTCTTCAATGCTAGAACCGTAAAAAGTATTACCGTTGATTTGATACAGCTAAAATTAGCTCTCAAGTAACCAAGTCTTCACTCAGTCACATAATTACCTTCCTAATTAGGATTTCAGAATAAATAGACTTGTGTCTGGGTGCATCCCAAGATAAAATCCAAACAGATCTGAGACAAGAGGCTGTACAATAATATCAAGGCAAGAAAAGGCATTAAATAATCTTCAAAGCCTTGAGAAAGACATCATTAAAGAGATGAGATTATTTGGAGCCGCTGTTAAAGAACTGGCTGTCCTCCAAAACTGAGTGTCTGGGACTGAAGAAAAACCATGAGACCTATGGTAAGCCAAAAGAAGATACAGTGTTCCATGACAAAGATAGAAGATGCACTACTGATGTCGATCGTCCCTAGAGAGGAGCACGATAAAGTTTTAATGATACTTCTTCAACATCAGGGGAACGAAAACTCATGAAGAGGAAGGAAAAAAAAATAGACTGAGTGAAACCAAAAACATCCTTGAGGAAAAAAAGGATTTTGAGTAATTTACCCAAGACAACAACTCATCTTCCAATAAGAAAATGGCCAAATCATATGCAAAAAGCCCAAAAAATGGTGGCCCATAAAAATCCAAACCCCCATTCAAACATCTATGGAATAAAACTGCTAATCTCAAATGAACACAATCCAATTTGAACTACCTATTAACTCCAGAGTTTCACAACTATCTACAGAGCAGAAAAAATCTAATCTTACCAAATAGTGAATCTGCAATTAGATTAAATAAAAAAAAAAAGTGAGTTTGCAGTTAGTTTGCAAGCTTGAACTGAATGTAATGAGACAAATAGACAAAATAATGGCACACACAGTAAAGTCTTTCTATTGAATCACAGCAAGCATACAACGTAAAAAAAATGTAGTCTGAATCTAGGCCTGGGCGATAAAACGGTATCGATATTTATTGACGGTACACCTACTGCGATAACGATAGAAAAAATGTTCCGATATAGCGCACGATATAGGCGCGTACTATGAGTGACGCAGACAGCAAACACAAACACAAGCTGAAATGAGTACTGTGCCTGCCTGTGATAAGGAGATTGTGAATAAAGAATGAATATTAATCAAATTTAAAATAAACATTTACATTTGAATGTTAGGTGTGCATCAGGGAGCGTCATTCGTGGCGTGTGAGATGCGGTGATAATGATGTAAGTGACGTTGTTGCATTTTAATGTTTTGTTAGTCTAGCCCACGAGACACGCCGCTGCGGCGTTATTTATTCAAAATACTAGAGAAATATAGAAGCTCAATGCTGAGAAGATCTTGATTAGGTTAAAACCGAAACCAAGCCATTCACACAGAGCGCATATTCAGCGCATTTTCTAGACGGACAAATATGACTGCTGCACTCACGTCTCACACAAGAAATGTATAGAAAGCCATGCAAAGTTAAAACAGTTTAAACTTTTAGAAAACACATCACGAATTTGTGGAGGTTTATTCCTTTTCACTGCGTCTCATATATTTTTAAATGCAATCTGAGTGAATGGCGCTTCGGCTCTTTGGATTAAGCAATGCATACATACATCATGCTGTTTTGTTCATAATTGTTTATACAATTTACGAAATTATATTGGATTTTTATGAGTTAATTTAAATGTAATGCACGTTTTTTTATAGAGTTATTTCCTTGTGTTGACAATTTATATGCGCTGCAGTGTTTTGCTCATTGTGCCCTCCTGTGGCCTCGGGAAACAGGCCAAAAGTTTAAGCTATTTAATCTGCATATAAAACATTAGAAATTAGATATTTAATTTTTATTTTGTGTTTGATTGTTAAAACAAAAAATATTTGTTGTTTGTCTCAATAAATTGGGTTGATTTAAAAATACAGTGGTTAAATTCAAAAAAAACTTTCTATTGCTTTGTTTTAAAAAAGGCTATAAAAAAAATGTCAATAATTATCGATACCGAACGATATGAAACATATCGTTGATAAATTTTGTAGCTATATCGCCCAGCCCTATCTGAATCACAAGCAAATTACTTTTAAATTGTTTAAAAAACTTAAAAAGTAACTGATTTGAATCAGTCTGACAAACCCAAACTCACTAAATTATTATTATTATTATTATTATTATTATTTAATTAAATGTTGACATTTTCTCTGTGCTAATTATTGCAAAATGGACCCCAATAAAAATCTGGAAAAAAAAGTCCAAGAGAGTGAATAGTCTTTATTGGCACATTATATGCACACAAACAAAAACACACACATTACCTGGTCTGACGGCAGACATGGCAGTGAGGAACTGACATAGAAGGAGCTGTTTACTCAAAATCTCCTGAATGTTCTCTTGGCCCTCCACAGAAAAACCCTGATGAGCAACACACCATCAGAATCTATCGACCAATCACAACAACAATATTCGCATTTAAACCAATCACAAAACAGCATGTCTTACCCCATCTGCCATTAAGAAGTGCAGGCCCCGCCCTTCAGTGCTGTCTAAGACAAAGTTGCGGAACGCAGTGATGTTTTCTGGCCGCATGATGTCACCATCGCCATCAATCCCACCCTCACCTGAAACACCGGTAATGAGACATTCAAAAGAAATACCAATATTTAAATTACATTTTTTTTCTATACCTAGATTAAACATTTATACTACCATTGTAAGTGAAATTGGAATAAAAAACATTTTTAATGTTGTTAAAAGAGTCACCAAGGCTGCATTTACATGATTAAAAGTACAGTAAAACTGTAATACTGTGAAACATTATTGCAATTTAAAAGAACTGCTCTCTATTTTAAAGGGGTGGTTGATTATGATTTCACGATTCGTGGTTAGCGAATCACAAACACACTGAGCCCCCTAACCAATCAGAGCCCATTGCGTATTTCTGAGGGAGGGGCTTCATAGAACCAGGAACTCAACAGACCGTCTTAACGAGAATGGAAACAGCGGTGTAGAATAAAGGTAAAATATGTGAAAATAATACGTTTTGTTTTTTTTTACGAAGCATGAACACATGTTACACTGCACCCCATAAACACAATCAAGCTTTCGAAAAAAAGCTGAACAACCACCCCTTTAATACAGTTTTATGCAGAAGTTTGGGCACCCCTGATAATTATCAAAATTTCAGTTTATAATCTGCTGGGCTTTCGAAGCAGCAACTTCATTAGGATATAATTTACACCTTATGGAAACAGTAACATTTCAGTTCTGAAATAACATTTATTGATTCAACAGAAACAATGCAATGTGCATCATAACAAAAACAGACAGGTGCAAAATTTTGGGCACCCCAATGGAATAATTACATCAATATTTAGTAGAGCCTCCTTTTGCCGAAATAACAGCCTGTAGACGCTTCTTATAGCCACTGATAAGTCCCTGAATTCTGGCTGCAGGTATTTTGGACCATTCTTCCTTGCAAAATGTCTCCAGTTCAGTCAGCTTTGATGGTTTCAGAGCATGGACAGCCCGCTTCAAATCATTCCATAGATTTTCGATGATGTTCAAGTCTGGGGACTGGGATGGCCATTCTAGAACACTGTATCTGTGTCTGTGCATGAAAAATGTCTGCTGGTTTGGTGGCTGCCGAGTATGGACAGCCTGCTTCAAGTCAATCCATAGATGTTTGATGATATTCAAGTCTGGGGACTGTGATGGCCATTCTAAACATTGTATCTGTGCCTGTGCATGAATTCCTTGGTAGATTTGGAGCAATGCTTTAGGTTATTGTCCTGCTGAAATAACCAACCCCGGCGTAACTTCAACCTCTTGACTGATTCTTGAACATTGTTCTTAAGAATCCGCTGATACTGGGTGGAATCCATGCAACCCTCAACTTTGACAAGGTTTCCAGTACCTGTGCTTGCTACACAGCCCCATAGCATGATGGATCCCCCACCAAATTTTACAGTAGGGAGCAGGTTCTTCTCCTGGAATGCGGTGTTCATTTTCCGCCATGCAAATCGCTTTTGGTTGTGACCAAATAACTCTTATCTTAGTTTCATCTGTCCACAGCACATTATTCCAAAATAATTCTGGCTTGTCCAGATGAGCCTTTGCATACCTCAAACAAGACTGCTTGTTGGCAGTACGCAGAAAAGGCTTTTTCCACATCACCCTTCCATTGAGCTGTGCTTTGTACAAAGTACGCTGGACTGTATTTTATCCTAATAGAGATTATATGACTAAATGTTTGTTTCATCTTTCATCAAATGCAGAAGAGTGGGCAGATTAGAAGATTACTTTTTTTATTTATTTTTTGTTCTGTGGCTTTTTCTGTTTGTATATTTTATATTTTCACATAATAAATGGCAACTGTATTGCATATTTGTTTTGTTATCCTGCAGTAATGTCCTGTTGCAAATTAATAAACCCTTTACTGCAGCATTTCCGTCTCCGTCTTCTTTTTTCATAAACCGCACGTTCTATAAATGCTGCAAAAATGGCTTATCTTACTTAGTATTTTTGTCTTGTTTCTAGTCAAAATATCAAAAAATTCTTAAATCAAGATACTTTTACTAAATAAGCCAACTGACTTAAGATATTTAGTGTTGTTTCCAGGGGAAAAAACTAAATTAAGTGCATTTTGCTTAGACTTTCTATTCAAAGAATGAAAAATGTATCAGTTTATACACAAAAATTAAGCAGCACAACTGTTTTCCTCATTGATAATAATAAGAAATGTTTCTTGAGCAACAAATCAGCATATTAGAATGATTTCTGAAGGATCGTTGAAAACTGGAGAAACAGTCTAGCTTTTTTATTTTAAAACATTTTAAAATAAAACACTGTTATTTTAAATTGTAATTAATTCACAATGTTACTCTTTTACTGCATCTTTAAATGCAGCCTTGGTGAACATAAGAGACTTCTTTCAACAAGCAAAAAACAACATTTAAAAAAAAAAATCTAACCAAACCCAAACTTTTGAACATAGTGTATTAGGGAATTTATATTAATGTGAAAAAAAGGGGAAAGCATACATTTTACATACTATAACTTATCACCATTTTAATTTTCCCTTTTTTGTAACAGGTAAAAAAGTACTACAGTATGAGAGATTAATTTATAAAAGTACAAATATTTGATTTAATCTCTTAAATCATACAAGGTCATAAAAGTGGCATGAAGAAGTGGGTTTCAATCTAAATCATTTTCATGCAAATTTTGAATTTTCACTAAAGAAAACATGAATGGCAGCACTTGATATGCATTTATGCGCACTAGGCTGAGGTGAAATTTCTGGAGTCAAAATGCACATAAATAAGATGGAAATGTGCTTCAAAAATGGGAAACATTTGGAAGGGAACCCAGCATATAATAATTGTAAAAGAATGATAAAATGTTTAAATGAAAAACAGCATGGCATGCATTTTCATGTCAACTACCCATTTACAGTTGGTCAGGTCTTTATCGTAGCCAATTATGAGATGCAGAGGTTTATTAGTCAAGCTAATATTTATAAAACACTGTTTGCACCGCAGACCCATGTGAACAAGAGACAACAAATAACTGAGCAAAAATAACTTTAGTCAGATGATGACTAATCTTTTTACCATAAAAGTAAAAGAATAAGCATTTGATCTTAAACGGATCATTTCAGTTCATCAGGTAATATGTGCTGCAATACCTGGCCCACAGTCATCCAATCCTTCAGCTCATCTGCATCTGGGATCTCTGGAGAACTTTCTGGAAACCACGTCACTGATTCTAAAGCACTTGGCTGAGAGTAAAAATGAGATGAGGGAGAAATAATGGTCCTGGACTACTAAGGTTTCTGTTTTAATACTGAAGAAACACTGTTGGAAATGTTGCCGTACCTCCGGCTCATCTTGCCAGTCTACATTGAGGTCGCCCTGGAAGCCCTTCAGGGTCAGACCCAAACCTCGCCTCCCACGCTGGGTCGATGTTTCTACGATCTCTTTCCGCCCTTGACCGAACTTTCCCAAACCCTCGCCTTCTCTGAAACCCATTTTGGCCTGAAGGAAGGAGAGGAGAAGACCATTTTAATGTGTTAATATGCATGTAACAGGCTGACAAGACAGTAAAAGGAATGACAGGAGGTGCTTATTTTACCATGAGTTTCTGAGAGACTCTGTTATACATAGAAAATTTGGAAGAGGCTTCAGAAGAGGCATCGTTGCCCTCGGCATTCTGGGAATTAGAAGGCCTGGAGAAACTGGGTTTGTGGTCCTCAACATCGCTGAGAGACTCACTCTGACTTGAGTCTGGGAGACAAAAAATGGGACACGCTTACAGAAACTTACACTATATAACCAAAGTATCTGGACACGCGAACATCACAGTGTAAAGTGCCATAAGGAAACTCCTCTCTAACCCTGACTGGTGGTTCTTTGAGAAGACTCCTCATCTTCATCAGAGGAGTCCTCACGGACAGCCTTCCTCTTCTTCAGAGGCTCGTCTGATGCTTGTGCCCGTCTCTTCATCTTAAATTCAAGCGGTCCAAGATCCTGCATTCATTCAAAAACATGAGATCACATGATTAAAACCCAAAACAAAGATGCATAACATGGACTTGTGTTAAATTCAACAATCATCAAGATTTTAGGTTAACATTTCAATTAACGTATAAAAGAGTGTATATTTTGAGTGCTATAAGTGGTAACCTAAGTTTACCAGGATTTTTTTTTTTTTTTTTTTACAATTTACAATTACCTTTTGCCTTCGCAAGTTTATTTCTTTAAAACGAGAGAGCAGAAGTGAATAGGGTAAAAAAATTTTCAAAAATTAATTCATATCATCATACTTCCCCAGCTGATTAATCACAGAACATTAAGACAAACTTTTTGTAATACTTGTTTCTGAAATGTTATATTTAAATATGCAAATGAGACATTATCAAATTAAATTTGCACACATTTCCAGAACAGAAATCTGAACATTGGATAAAGCCATGGTCGATATTCTTGTTTCATTTTGTTGACATATTAGATTTAAAAGGTATTTACAGAGGGGGTTTTGAATCTCTTTTCCTTACTCCATAAATCAGAAAATACTGTCAACAGGCAGAAAAATTCTACATCTTCACTATGTTTTCAGGAATAAAATGTTGTATAAAACAGGCAAAGTTATATGAACAAAACCCTCTGTAAAAAATAGAGAGAGGAATAAAATAGAAAGTAATTGTGACTGAAGTGGAGATTTCAGACACAGTTCATCAGAATAAAACTAATTTTGAGACAACTGCCTTAAAATATGTCTTGTAATTAACAGTAACAGAAAGTGTAATAAAATATGCACTTAAATTTGTATTTTGCATATTTTCTAGCCATTACTTTGAAAAAATACATTTTAAGGAAGCAAAATAGTCCAAAACTGGCCCAAAAACAATGGTTTTGCCTGTAGTGTTTTGCCTTAAAATCCAATATTCCATACCGCATCTCGGTTAATAAAAGCTGCAAGCATAATAATTACAAAAGAATCGGCTAATTGTGATCTATAATAGTTTTACATTAAGTACAGTTTGTCACATATGTCAAATACCCATATAAGTGAATAAATGTTGAGCTGGAATTCTATAATTGTGTTCATCATGCCATTCTTAAGATTTAAAAACTGAAAACCGTTTAAAAACAGATTTAAAGAAAAAAAAACTGTAAAACCTTAAAACGTGATGCTAATAAATAATAGTGCTGCATTTATCATAATCTATACATTTCCTTACAAAAATTCGACATTTCGATTTTCATATTCAGGTCAAAACAACAGGTAGAATTAATAGTGATGAAACACAGAACAGGCGCCAAGCAGGACATTTCTCATGTATTTCTTCCACTGTATAAAAACCAAGCTAGCATTAATTATTCAGCTGTTTTGGCGATATAACTATTGTCTATTTCGGTTTCAAATGTGCCATAGTGAAAATGATTAAGCTAAGTTTATCTTCCTTGATATCGCATTTCTGTAAATGTTAAAATTTATTGGGGGATCTTACAAAGCTAAAGGTCTCAGAAACATAACTGTGTGACACAGAAACACAAAGTGAAATCAACACTCAGCTTTTTAGGTTTCGATTTCACAAGAAGCGATGCTGCGACACTTGCAAACATACCCCAAAAGGAAATACGCAGCTATAATCCTGAGTCACCTCCGCAATGTAAACTCATATTTGACTTGTATCCAATCTGTACAATTTCTTGACTATTTCTGCTTTATGTTATATTTCAAACATCAAATCTGGCCCGCGTTCCTCTTTCAGTGGGTCTTACCGTGTTGCTGGCGCATGATAATTACGTCACCACTGGGGTTGGACAACAAACGCTCTCGGTGCGTCCATTTGAATTTCTGGTTTTAATGGCGGGTCACAACCAACTTGTTCAGGTGCATACCGCCATCTACTGTACCGGGGTGTGTAACTTCATGGGTTCATATACTTTATATAGTTATAATCAGTGTTGGGGGTAATATATTACAAGTAACGTAAGATTTTAAAAACAAACAAGCAAGCCTTCTCCAGATTTAAAAAGTAACGCAAAAGTAACGTAACGCATTACTTTCCATAAAAAGTAACTAATTAACGTAATTAGTTACTTTTTATGGAGTAACGCAATATTGTAATACATTACTTTTAAAAGTAACTTTCCCCAACACTGGTTATAATTGAGGAAAAAAAAATTATAAATAAATAAACCTATATACTGTGCTCTAACCCTGTATCTTGAAGAAACTTAAAGAGAGCCTTACTACATTCCCACATTTTCTCATCTGGCCCCAAAATCCCCTTCAAACTCCATTCTTGTTCCAACTCATATATCTTATCTTGCAAGATTCTCTCTGAATTATATTTTTTACACCTCATAATGATATGTTCCACATGACAACAAACGCTTGAAAGCTAGGTGATTAATATTAATTAGGTCGTGCAGACATAAACTTCCTTATGGCGAAAGCGTAGTTCATAAATAATAATAACAGTATGCAGTCATCGCTTGGTAAACTTCCAATAACGCAGCACTTAACGCAAAAGTGAAAATATCTCAGCATATATATTAATTGGCCAAGAAATATGTTACATTTAATCTTACTTATAGTATGATATTGTGTGTGCATGTTTTTCCTTTCCTTTTTTCTTATAGACTATACTTCTTCCTCTTGTCCCTCTTGCAGGACAGTTTTATGACGTCCAGAGTGCTGTTTTCCAGTCCAGTCCAGATTGTGACCCGATCCAATGTTCTGCATCCTAAATGTCAATCAGGATAGTTCATTAGTTCACAAGTAGCTGTGAATATAGGCTATATGTAGAAAAATGAATTATACAATTAATGATTAAGTGCTATGTCATGAAAGTCTTCTAAAATCAGAGTTGTATTTGAGAGAAAGGGTTCTAGTAATATTATATGGCGATCATAATATCTGAACAGGTATTTTTCAAGATATATGGTTGGGGCAAGTTGTCACAGTGACTAATTAGCACGATTAGTGAACTGATTTAATAGATTCTTTGAAAAGAATCATCACATTTACGAATCGGACACCGCAAGCGAGTGTCGATTTCTTCTGACAGAGTAAGCTCTCAGCTCAGAACTTTGGATAGCCTAATGTTCTGCTAAGGTTTTCTCAAAGTTCTGAAAAAATGTTCTTCCAGTAACACTAATAGAACATTCATTCAAAGTTGCTGGTATTTCATAAAGTTCTATAACTAAAACATTATTATTCATCGTTCATAGAAAGTTTTTTTCTTTAAACACTATTATTTACTGCATGTTTCAGAACGTTCAGAGAACATTCAAAAGTAACATTCCCATGTTTGAAAAATGATCAAATGAACCATTACATGTTTCTCTGATGTTTCCATAACCAAGAAATTTTTTTTCGAAATGTTTAAAAACTGACATTTTGAACTCTCAAACAACATTCAGAAATAATATTCTTGAAACATGTTTTTGTTAGCTGGGCTCAAGCACAGAGACAGAGCCATTTTATACAATTCATAAATTGCAATCTATGTTGGCCAAAACAATAGTTTTAACTTAAATATCTGGCCTGTATTCCAGAAATGCTTCGGGCGCACATCGGGCACACATACCATCCCTTCACAAAAAGAAGGACAGGATTTCATGAGGACATGTGACCAGTGATATAAGCACCCAAAGCTTTATAAGTCTGCAAGTTTTTGAAGAGCAGTGACAGATCCGTCTTATGTGTCTGTGTGCGTGTGTGTGGATGGGAACTTTTTGGTTTTCTGGCCAGAGGGACTGATCTGCTCCAAGAGACACTGCTGAGATGTTCTTCCGCGTTCCTCTCCTGACACCTGGATACATTCGATACCTGCAGGTGAGTGTCCAGTTTCTAGTACCTGAGCAAACTAAATGAGCCTTCTCCAAAATGTGGAAAATGACTTAGCAAAATTTTCTATGGAGTCTGAAAATCTAAACATGCTTTTGTTATAATGAATTCTCTTAAGAGGAAATACCAATGTTCTTCTATTATTATTATTTTTTTTTATATATATCTTAGACCCCAAGCAAACATCCAGCATGTATGCATTGTATTCTTGTAATGTATGGTAATGTATGTAGTTTGATATACAAGTAAGCATCAAAAAATCAAAGTGACTGAGCATATAAGAGATACAGTAGGGCAGAAATAAATCACAGTAAAGCAGATACAGATGAGACCAAATTAGACCAAATAAATAATAATAATAATAAATAGAAATATTATTTGTTATTAATTTATAAAGCAAATTAATTTATATTTCAAGTGTTTAACTGTTACTTGAATTAAAATCAATAAAAAACACTGAAATAACAATATTTGCAATAGTTGTTTCCCTGTGGAATTTGAAAGGCTTTTTTTTTATTTTATTGTTTTATATCAGAATCACAGTCTTGTATCCACAAGAAAATGGATCTCGAGCCCAATGACATGAGACGCTTGCTCCAAATCTCTAAAACTCTCTTTGTAGCTATTTTAGGAAACAGATTCGGCTGGAATTAAGCACCGTTGGCATTTTGGTGTTTGTTTCCATTAATAATGTTTTTACATGATATAAATGATTCTTCCCTTTTTAAGGGAAGGTTCAAACTGGAAGCACTATATATAGTAATTGAGTGTAATATACACTCAATTGTTTGCACTTTAAATCGTATTCATGGAAACTGCTATGAAACTATATTTATGTTGATAAGCTTCTTATAAGTCTTAATCCTGATCTAGGAAATTCAGTAATACTTCTGAAACTTGTCTGAAATAGCATGTATTTCTGAGAACTGCTTCCTGGATCGATCTTCTCTCATCTCATGCTCATAGAAGAGCCATGGACACTGACCTTTGACCTTTTGCTTTTAGACTCAGGCGGCGCGGACCGGTTTGCAGAGGGAGGGGCCCGTTGTACCCCGCCTTGCCATGCTGCTAGGCCTTGTGGGTTTTGGGATGTCAGGATACAGCTCTCGCCAGCTGACCTTATACCACAAGCCATCGCCACATCTCCTGCGGTGAAACACAAAGCAGCAAACAGAGAGAAAACGCATCGCTTATGTTAAAAGGTGCGTTCTTTCTTGAACAAGCTCAGAGATCATGCATCCATTTGTTTATAGATTTACCACACCATGCTGAAGCTCATAGTCTTGCTTTGGTTGCGAGGATGGCCGATCCTCAACCATGCTCTCCCAAACTTGTTCTCTGGCAACAAGGGAGTGAATTAATGCTTTGACTTTTGAAATTTAATTTAAAAAATGCATTGAGGATGCATAACGGGCACAAAGTGACAAATGGGATATTTTATGGTCCTGTGGACCTCAAGGATGCTTCAAAGTCTACTTCAATTAAACATTTGGGACAGGGGTCCACTTAGCACTCGATTATATTTTTGATATAATATGTAATGAATTTTTGGCAATCCCAAAAATAATTCTACTCTTTGTACACCTGAAGTTCCTAAAGAAGACCAAGACAGGCTCCACAGTCAATGCAAACCAGCCAACAACAAATCCAGCAGTCAACAAGACTAGCACAGCTGTCACCGTGCAAACATTATAATGCTGAAGTATGACTATTGATTTTCTTAAAGTAATTTTAAGAGACATATTGCTCTAATGAAGAGAGCAATTTCAGCAGGTCACCTTCATAGCTATGAGTCACAGTCGCCATTTACAGGACAGGGCTTCATCTTTAAAATACATTGAGCATTTAATGTCCCATTTGTCTACACCAAGCAATTTCCCTCTGGCTGTCAGGAAGTATAATTCATATAATTCATATGACTAAAAATGCATATACAGTATTATATACTGTATATTTTAAGTGTTTTTATACATATATTTATTTGCTTTTATCTATCTAAAAGATAAACTCATTTTTATTTTATTTTATATTCTTACATAATTAATTATATATTGTCATACTTGTGATTTTGTTTGTATAACGAGTTTTTGAGTTTGAATGTACATATAATGTAAATAAGTTTAATTTCAAATGTATTTATGTTACAGAAATTGTATATAACAAAGTATGTATTTATAAATTCCTTAGCTTTGAGAGTAGGACAGTGTTTTTTGATGGGCCTCCAGCTTTCCCTTCTCAAGCGTGTACAGAAATCCTCATCTGGCTTTTCTCTTCCAATTTGGGCCTGGCACCAACCTCAGTGTCACTCAGACTAAGCAGACTTAAATTTGTAACCCCAAAAAGGCCCATGAAGGACACTGGCCTATCAGAAACTCTTTCCTAACTAGGCATCTGATCAATATGATCTCATAAAAGTGTTTATTTATGGAAAAAAATTGTGTGTTTTGGCACTGACGAATGTAACGAATGTCTCACCGACAGCTAAATGTCAGTGGTTTTGTGAATGGGACAGGACTGATGTGAACTTCAGAGCGCTGAGTCATGTAATGATGGCATGACATCTCAGAACAGACACTCAAGAAGAAGAGCTTATGTTCTTAAAACGGTCTAATCTGCTCATCCAATTACAGCTGGCTGCTAATATAAGGTCAAAGACCTTTATTTAGAGAACAAATGGCCAACCACTTAAACTGGGGACATTGTGCTGTTTTGATCCTCTGTGGACATTCTGACTGATTTGCAGTGATTTTTGTTTCATTATTATTATTGTTGACATTATTGATTATTATTGCCATTGTGACCATTTTAGCACTTTGATGGCAGGAATGATTGTATTTTCAAAGCTCATTTTGAAAGAAGAGAGTATATCTTGTCTTGTAATTTATTTTAAATGTGTATTTATTTACTAAATAAAATATTCAAGCATGTAAAGAGACATAAGTG